GCTTGCATGCAAACAAACAATTAAAACTTGCATACTTACATGTATTATACGAGTATACACGCTTTCTACACTTCACGCTAATTAGTCATGAAGACTAGAAACAATCCGGTATTTAAATACATATCAGAAATAAGCACCACTTTTTAATGCGTAACAATAAAAATTGCGAAAAATCAGAACAGCGTGAGAGTGTTAATTCTCATTTGTTAGATACGTTGTTTTAACTTTCTGATTCATCAATTTAACGGAGTTTCTATCGCTAATTATGGTAATCAAAGTCTGGTAATTCGAACCCGTATTACCATAATAAGATTGCATATATGACATAGTCGTAAACAAGTTTATGCAAATCTACATCCATGCATACATCTAATCATTGGAACACGACCGTATTCGAATATTAACGCGATTCATTGTATATTTGAATGTGCTTCAATTTGTTATTCCATGAATAGAAATGAAAGCTTTGTAATACGTAACTATCCCTTGAACAATGTCTCCTCGTCGCGGTGTATACGCAGAGTAGAGGTAATAATGGTTCCGAAGTTTTTCGTAACAGTTCTCGGATATTTTTTATTGATAAATTCTGAACATTTTCAAAACATTATACATATTTTTATATACTTATCAAATATGTTTTAACGTCAGCTTCTTGTAGCTAAAGAAAATCAGTAGACTTCAATTTATTTTGTTAAATTGCGGGTGATTGTTTGTTGGAACATTGAACAGCGTCGTACGTAACGTGGCGTAACGCTAAATTATCGCATCACACGATAATACCGTCTCTATCCGGAACTGTTCCAACTTTTTCAGTTTATATGCGCGTTACTACCTACTACCTACCATACGTTTTTCTCATCTGTTTTACTCCTGGCTTAGGAGTTCTCCCCAAAGGACCTTTTTTCTCTCCTGACACTATAAATGTGTTCTCGATGCTCCGCTCCCGTGGAATGTTGTACTCCTCGTTTCTCTTACCGATACCTAATTCCTTCTTTATAACCTTCTGTGGAAACTTGGTCCAGGCACGGATACTTTTCCAATATATAAATTTCTACTAGTACTTCGTTCAATTTTTTTTTAAGAAGATTCTGCTTATAAAAATCAATGTACGATTTTTGTTTTTACTCTCAGGGTTTTAATTTTGTTTTATACGATTTGGATGGCGAGTCAGACGGTGATTATGTGTGTATGAAAGGTAGTTAAACGAAAAAGAGAAACTCACTTCTCTCAGGGAAATTGTCACTTACAGCAGCAATTAACTGTTAACAGAATGCGAGTAAGAGGCGGAAAATTGAAAGTACCGAAAACCGGGGAAGAATAAAATTAGCGGTATTGAAATAGTTGCATAGGCAAACTAACAAGCTAAATATACTTACATCGAAAGCTACGGGGAACAATGCTATCTTTTACTTCATATCGCTTGTTCCGCAGCTCTTGTGGGGTTGAATAGACTTTCAGCTGACTAAAGCGAGGTAACATGAAATGAAACAAATGCTTTTATGTTGCAGACATTCAGACATGGCTTTCCACATCAGCCGACAGCGGTGGCATTCGATCCAGTTCAAAGGCTCCTTGCTATTGGCACTAAATCCGGATCCCTCAGGATGTATCCTTTCGCAATGTTTCTCATTAATTAAATAGGAAATTAAGAATCGATCAACACGCCCAGTTCGCTGTTTCCCCTTTAATTTCGATAGTTAAATATTTACTGATCTGCGAATTTTTATGACTGAACATATTATAAGGCTGTGCGTGGCTATAAATATTCGCGTTCTACTTTATCTTGTGCATAAAATTTGTTTTCTAAAAATGGTATAAAGAACTGCCTGAGTCATCTATTGAATTCTGACGAACGAGGTATAAATACGTTTCTCGTCATTTATCGGGGACGTTACCTAACGCGCAGCATGTAAATGCAATTTGTCGAACATTTTCGGGAGCTAAAATTAACCGGGCGAGTAAAATTATACAATTTGTCTGGATTAATTACACCGCGCGGCCGGTGGTTCATGGTTCGTCAACCGTGTGTTTTTTCACGTGGGTGCCTCTATTGGTCTATTCTGACTAAAGAGTTGCCTACCGGAGAGAGGTAGCGGATGCTCATCACAGCTCGATAAGCTTCCTGGTTGCCATCGAGACAGGCATTTGCTACAAAGTAACTACTTTCAACCGAACACGGTGCGCTTTATTGCTCAATAAAATCTCCAAACGGTTCTCTACAAAGAATCGAGCCTGCACGTACCGAGAATGCAGAAAATCAATGATTGCATGAGCCGTCACGATTGGAATGGGGCGAAAACGGAGGTGCAAAACTGGAATTCAAACCGTTTTAAATTCATTACGCTTATTTCCGTTCGTTCAACAGTGGAGTACCATAAGGAGGAAAAATGGATCAACAGGATTTCCACGAAACAATTCTCGGATGATACAACGCTACTTTGCTTTATTATATTTACATGCATTTATCCCATTCTATTTCGTGTTATTATTAAGAAAAGAGTCTTAAAAAATTTGTAACAAGTTCAGATTTTGAACATAAATCTCCAAATATTGAAAATATTCCTATTTAAATTCTCTGCTCTCTGGGAGGTAACATCTGCAAAAAATATCGTATTCACTTACGCATCCGATGTATTTATTGTCAGCGGATAAAGCACGCGACTGACATCTGACCCATATTTTGCTATAATGATCATCTCAATACTTGAAGGAACAAAGAAAAGCAAAAAGACCTTACGCTTCCTTGTTATTATCGAGCTATTATTACGAAATTATGCCTTTACATCTACATGTGTTTTTAAATGATTTAAAATGACGACGTTCCTAGAATAAATCGTGAAGGTCCTTTAATGAGAACAGTAAACGAGTAATATCCATAGGAATTGTACAGGAGCTCTAAGCGCGACCTAAATATTTCAAATTGTGTCACAGCGCGTCGTAGACAAGAAATGGCTTGGAACTGTGACAACCCAACATAGTATAAAATATCTTTCTGTTAAATGACACGGCATAACGTATGCAATCTCCCAATTTCGTAGTTTTCAAATTTATTCGATTGGAAAGAATACGCTTTTAAAATAGAATTTTTTATTACTTCCTCGTGTATGAATGAAACTAGCTGATGCAGAGGTGTCATACCTTCTTCTTTTTAAATTTCCTTTGGACACGCACGAGAGAACAGCATCTCAATTTTCGGGAGAAGTGGGACACGTCATATTTTGCCATCTGAATATCCTACGTCCTACGTAATGCATATGTATAAGTATAGTTTCTTAGATTTGATCCTTTATTATATCATCGCGTCCCTCTATTCCCGTTTGCGACTATTGAATCTTGTCGATTAATAAAACAGTTTGCTATCTGCTAATAGATTCTGTTGACACAAGATATAATTTATTATTTACGTGAACCCGTATGCATATTTATTACTTTCCTTAATTGAAACGTTGTACGATAGTTTGGGTCGGCCAGGTGTGGATGCACACGTGAAGCACGAGGGGTGTACAGCTGTATTGCAATTGCAATTTTTAGTGAACGAGGGAGCTCTGGTTTCGGCGACCGCAGATGACACTTTACACTTATGGAATTTTCGACAGAAAATACCGCAGGTCGTGCAGAGTCTCAAATTTCAAAGGGAAAGGTCAGTATTTC